CAAATTATTTACTTCATATTGTGTATGTTGTGATAGTTTTGTTTATTAAGGAATTGCTCCATTTCATCTATGTCATCAAATGTATATTCTTTTTATATCTGCAAGTCTATAATGATACTCTTTGTTTCATTCATGTTGCTAATTTTTATCTTCTCTTTTTTTCTTTGTCATTCTTGCTAGATAATATTAATCTTTTCCAAAAAACTCAATTCTTTGTTTCATTGATTTTTCTCTCTTATTTTTCTGTTTCAATTTTATCAAGTTCTGCTCTTAATTATTTACTTTCTTCTGCTTGCTTTAGGTTTATTTTGCTCTTCTTTTAGGTTCTAAAGTTGGTAGCTATTTATTAATTGAGGCTTTTTCTCTTTTCTAATGTTTGTATTTAGTACTATAAATATTCCCCTTGGCACTACTTTGTGTCTCACAAAATTTGGTGTGTCGTGTTTTTGCTTTCATTCACTTTAACATATTTTTTGGTTTTCATTGAGACATGCTCTCATCTGTGGATTATTTGGAACTTTGCTGTTTATTTTCTAAGTGTTTAGAGGTTTTGTTCTATCTTTGTTATTTCTACTTTAATTTCATTTTGGTGAGAGAATATATTCTGTATGATTCAATTCTTTCCTATCTGTTTATGTTTGCTTTATGTCTCAGGATATGATCTATCTTGGCTTATGTTCTGGGACACTTGGAAAAAATATGTATTTTGTTGTCATTGAGTGAAGTGTTCTATTATTGTCAATTAGGTCCTGTTGGTTGATAGTGTTGCTGAATTCTTCTTTATGTTTGCTGATGTTCTGTCAGTTGCTGAGATAGGGGTATTGAAATCTCTAGCTATAATTATGGGTTTGTTTATTTCTCCTTTCAATTCTAAAAGTTCAAGTTTCATATATTTTGCAACTCTTGTTTGGTGCATACACATTTAAGATTGTTATGTCTTGGCAGATTAACCCTTTTTATTTATCTTTTAAAAATTTTTAATTGATTTTTTTGGTGAGAGAAATATTTGAGAGAGAAATATCGATGGGCCTCCTCCTGCATGGGCCCTGACCAGAATCGAACCCACTACTTCTTGAGTGTACTGGACAACACTCCATCAGCTGAGTCACATTGGCCAGGACTTAACCTTTTTTAAATCATTATGTAATGTTCCACTTTGTTCTGATAATTTGTTGTTCTGAACTCTGCATTAGCTGGTATTAATATAATCACTCCTCCTTTCTTTTGATTGTTTTCACAATGTCATTTTCTATTTTTTTTAATCCTCACCTGAGGATATTTCTTCCCATTGATCTTTAGAGAGAGAGAGTGGAAAGGGGGAAGGAGGGGCGGGGAGAGAGAAACATTAATGTGAGAGAGAGAAATTGACTGCCTCCCTCATGGGCTTCAACCGGGGTGGGGATCAAACCTGCAACCGAGGTATGTGCCCTTGACTGGGAATAGAACCCGTGACCCTTTGGTCTGAGGGGCCAATGCTCTCTAACCATTGAGAAAAACCAGCCAGAGCTCATTTTCCATTCTTTCACTTTCAGTCTGCCTATGTTGTTATATTTGAAGTCAGTTTCTTTTTTCTAGATAGCATATAGTTGGGTCTTTGTGTGTGTGTGTTTTTAATGCACTCTGTCCATCTCTGTCTTCTAATTTTAATATTTAGGCTACTTACATTTAATGTAAAGGACTTAAGTCTGTCCTGTATTTTACAATTTAAAAATTACCATTTGCTTTTTTACATAATTTTTTTTTCAGACTTTATATTTCTTTGCTGAGGCTTTCTATTTTCAGTTGTCTTATTGTGTTCATAATTGATTATTGAAGCATTTTTATTTTATTTTTTTTATTGAAACCTGGAAATTTTGACTATTATACTCATGAAACTCTGGATTTTATTTAAACTCTCTGTTTTAGCTAGCTTCCTTTAACACACTTCGGCAGAAGTGGGGACCACTGCCTCATTACTTCCAGGTGCAGATAGAAATTGAAGTTCCTTATTCTTCCTCCATTGACATCTGAGGAGGGAGGTCCTCATTAGTGTTAGCAGGCGTGAGAGTTCCAGGTCACCAACTAGGCCTTCACTGATACCTTCTTGTACCCCACCAAGTCCCTGGTAACACTACTAGGGCGGTGACCTTGTTCCTGCCGTGATGGTGAAAGGGCAGAGGAGGATTGGCTGCTCCTTATTACCTGGCAGGAGTAGAAGTCCATGTTCCCCATGTGGTTTCCATTGGCACTGCTGGAGTTGAGAGGACAGCATCCTTATATACTGGTGAGAGTGGACCATTCAGTCTTTGCTGGCATTGGTGGGGCTTGAGCCACTCTTTTCTGTGATGTTTGACTGAAAAAGAATGTGTTGGTTTTGGGGTTTTTTTCTCCCTAAAACTTTTCTGCCTTGCTAGGCTCCTTTTTGTTTGGCTAGAGGGAAAGCTGGTGTATGTGTTTTTCGTTTGTTTTATTTGTTGTTTTTTGTCTGCCCATTGGCATTTTTGGTTTGCTGACTCTATTTCCAAGTCTGGGATACATGAGACAGAAAGGGAACTCACTATTGTCATGTTCCTCAAAAATCTTCTTATGCTTGTTTTATATATAATTGTTACTTTTGGTTAAATTTGTAGGATAGATAGGGAAAAGTACATTTCACCTTGCTGGAAGCCGAAGTTTTTTCCTTTATCTATTCTTTTTAAAAGCAAAACTTTATGCTTCCCTTTCCCCTCTCCTCCCAACCCCTCAATCCCACTCTAGTTGGTTCTTCTTTTCTCAGTCCCCTTTTAGGACCAAACTCTTTGAAAGCATTTGTCTATACTTACTTTCTCCAGTTCTTCTCTTATTCTCTCTTAAACCTATTCTAATAAGACTTTTATATCACTCTTCTGAAATCACGCAGCAAGGTGTCATTTACAAATGAATAATCAAAGCAATGATACTTACCAAAACTGTAGCTGAGGCTAAATTTATACTTAGAGGGAAATTTATAGCCTTAAGAGAGAAAAAGCCTGAAACCAAATGAGCTCATTTCTAATTTAAGAATTTAGAAAAAGAACTCAAAGAAAGAGGCAAAAAGGGATGAGAAGATGTCCAGACATTAGTAAAATAAAAAGCAACGCTAAAATTGAGAGAATTAAGAAATTCTTGAAAGATGGTCTGGAAAATCAAAGAGAAGGCAAATTATATTATAATATATATTATAAATTTTTGTAAATAAGTTTAATTGACATATTAAATAAAATTGTACGAAATAAACAAGTTATCAGAAATATAAATAAGTCGCCAAAAGTGATTGAAAAAGAAATAGAAAATCTGAATGGTCCTATAACCAATTAAAGATGCCGATTTACTGGTTAAAAGTCCTTTCTTCAGTGAAAATGCCCAGGTTGTTTTTCACCTGAGTTTGAACAAATGCTCTTTCCAGTGTGTTCAGTAAACTTTTTCAGAAAACAAAATAAAGGGTAGTAATACTCATTTTCTTTTCTGAGGCTTAAGTTGTAAGCTTGTTATCAGAACTAGCAAGAAGAATGTGATAAAATGAAATTTATAAGCTAGCTTCACTTAGGAACATAGAAAAAAAATTAGCAATGTATTAACTGGTAATACGACCAACTTTGGCTTATTCTAGGAATGCAAGATTTAAGTAACATACAAATTTATTTAAAATATATATACCTTAACAGAATTATAAGTTACCATATCACATTATTGATTTACTATAGTGAAAGTCTCAGTTAAATCTCAGAATTCTAGGTATCTATCCTATATGATGAGTACTAAAATTTCAGTTTTGAATGGGTCACAATAGATAGCACAACTAATTTGATTGAAGGGAGTCAGGTCTCTCAGATATGGCAAAATGTGAGTGGGGTTTTGATGAATAATATTTAGTGAAGATGTTGGAACAATATTTCAAGTATAGGGAAATAATGTGTACTGAAGCATAGTTGTGGCATTTGGGAATGATAAGTGAAATATATCTAGAGCACAGTAAAGATACTGGGACCTGCCGGGAGATATAACAGGAAATTTGGGCCAATTGTGAAAGGCTTTGTCTCCTTGCTTCTTGCTAAATAGTGGGATATATCAACCCAGCAAAAATCAAAAAATTTATTTAGCTTCTTATATTTAATGTCTTATCTTTAGAAATGACATATATAACTTTTTGCATTCTTTTGCATAAGTATGTGCTGCATTTGAAAGCAGGTGCTGCCACTGATATTCCTCAATTTTTTGTTGACTAAAAATTTAGGAATCTGAATTTATGACTGAACCACTAACATAATGTATTAATTTTAATTTTCTCAGTGTAATATCTTCAACTTTTGAAACCACTCATGGCTAATCTCTCACCAAGTTGGTGCCTAAGAACTTTCCACTGAAATATGTGACAGAGGCCTGATTAATTTCATTTGTTCTGGCATTTGCTAACATTATGTGGTAAAAGCACATTTTAATACATCTCTTTTTAAGAGACAATTATAATTTTATTAAGATTTTTTTATTGAGTTTGTTGTTTTTCTTTTTTTAAAGAAATGTCATTTGAATTGAACTGTTATTGGTTTCCGCGTGTGTGTGTGTGTGTGTGTGTGTGTGTGAGTGTTTTTTATTGCATTGGTAGATACAAGGCAACAGGGTTGTTTATTTGTTATAGTAAATTTTGAATCAGAATTGTAAACCTAATAACTTCATATTCTATTGCTCTTACTTTTTTTCTTAATGCATCCTTTTAGACCAATGGTTCTCAACCTTTCTAAAGCCGAGATCCTTTAATACAGTTCCTCATGTTGTGGTGACCCCCCAATTTCATTGTTAAAAATTGAACATAATTAAAGCATAGTGATTAATCACAAAAACAATATGTAATTATATATGGTCCTAGGCGACCCCTGTGAAAGGGTCGTTCGACCCCCAACGGGGTCGCGACCCACAGGTTGAGAACCGCTGTTTTAGGCCTTCTAAAGGTGCTTTTTATTAACTTTTCTTTATTACATAATCTGTTTAATTTTTTTAAATTTAAGGTGTGACTGCACAGAAAAATTACAGAACAAATTTGACTTTTTGCGCTCACAGTTGAACGATATTTCTTCGTTTAAGAATATCTACAGATATGCCTTTGATTTTGCAAGGGTAAGTGGAATATCCATGTTTTGTGATTTTAATATTTTTTCGATCTTGACGCCACACTTAGGAAAAAATTTTTGACTTATATATTTTAGGATAAAGATCAGAGAAGCCTTGACATTGATACTGCTAAATCTATGTTAGCTCTTCTGCTTGGGAGGACATGGCCACTGTTTTCAGTATTTTACCAGTACCTGGAGGTATGTATGTTTTTTTATTTTTAAAATATTATTTTAAAATTTAATCTGATTGAAAACATACCTTTAATTGAGGAAAAGCAAATAGATTTTTAATATTATACCTTTAAAAATATTTGCTTTAGTAGAAAATTTGTTAAAATGTTTACATACCTACTTTCATTTTTAGACCCAAGTTCATGTTAAATAATATATTCTGTACATATTTATTTTACTCCTGCCCTCCATTAAAAAATAAACCTTCAAGAAATAATTTTAGCGCAGTCTTCAGACAAAATAGTTTCTTGGGCTTTTGGCAGGAGAAAATTGATATTAGTGTATAAATCTCAAGCTTCTAAATCAGGTTTCTTTCTGTTACACAGGGTCTTAGGCTGAAATCCACATAAGAACCAAGTATAGTAATACAACTTTTCACTTGGACTCAATTTAAAAAGTTCAAATAAAGCTTTTAATATTTGATGTCCATAAATATGAGAGTGGCTATAATGGTGTACTGAAATGTACTGATTACTGAAAACATATGCTGAATTTATGAAGAAAGTATTCTTTTAGAAGGTTTATCATAGCACCTACTATAGGCAGTGGTTTTAAGAAGATACTATTCTTTTTTTTTCATTGCTTTTTTTTTTTGCTTTTCTGTTTTTGTGCCTTTTCAATTTCAGTTTTTTTGATATGGTTCTCACTATTCCTTGAATTACAGATCCTTCTGCTTTTGCTTTGAAAATAATTTCTCAAAAAGCTAATTGTTTATCCTAGCAAGTTCCCCAAAGTAGTTTTGTTTAAAGCTTGTGTTAAACAATGGTATGAAAAGGCCTTATGTGAATCGGTTTTGTACACACTTAAATATTTAAGCTTAATAAAGTTGATGTTTTTGATGGGTATTATCAATCTTCCTCCTGTCAGTAGTTTTGACAAAAATAAAAATAACTGAATATAAAAATACTCACCCCTAAAGGGAACTGAAAGAACTAAATATTTTCAAACACTTGTTATCCAGCAGAGGGTGCTTCCCATACTATCTTTTTAAATCTTTTTATTTATTGTTTTTTGTTGTTGTTTGTTTGTTTGTTTTTAATTTGAGAGAAAAGGAGAGAAACATTGATCCATTGCCTCCTGAACACACTCTGACCAGGGATGGAACCTACAACCCAGGCATGACTGGGAATCAAACCCACCACCTTTTGGTATATGGGATGATGCTCCAATCAACTGAGCCACACCAGCGAGGGCTCTTTTAAAATCTTTATAATACCATTTTGAATTATATTTTATCCCCATTAACAAATGAGGAGATGGCTTCTATGGATACATAACTTCCTAAGGTCACTTATAAGTGGCAGAAGTGAGATTTGAACCCATGCCTATGGTCTTTCCAATGCCGCCAAAGAAGCCAACTTCAGAATGTGGCCAAATAATAAATCTCATGCAAAGAAATGAGTTACTGGGAAAAGTCACACAAGGGAACTTACTGGTTGCAGAGAATGTTGTATATCTTGATCTCATTTGTGGTTACACAAGTATATGCATAGATAAAAAATAGTACCTTGATGTGCTTGTATTCTTGAAAAATGAAAGAAAAATAAGGAAAAAATAAGTTGGTGCTCTTTTTTTTTTTTTTTTTTTTTTTGGTAAATCCTCACCCAAGGATATTTTTTCCATTGATTTTTATAGAGAGTGGGAGGGAGGGAGGGAAGAATGAAGGGAAGGAGAGAAAGAAAAGAAAACATCGAAGTGAGAGGGACACATTGATTGGCTACCTCCTGCATATGCCTGACCGGGGCCAGGGATCAAACCTGCAACCCAGGTATGTGCCCTTGACTGGAAATCAAACCTGTAACTCTGTGATGCTCAGGCCGATGCTCTAACCATCGAGCAACATAGGCCAGGGCCCTGAGGATTTAAAAACACAATTTAAAAAACAATAAATGTTTAGAAAAACCAAATTATAAAATATAACTAGATTTATTGAAGTCAAGCCCTAATAAATAATGCATGTTCTATAATCCAAATATTTATATCATTTTCTTCAGCAATCAAAGTATCGTGTTATGAATAAAGATCAGTGGTACAATGTATTAGAATTCAGCAGAACAGTCCATGCTGATCTTAGTAACTATGATGAAGATGGTGCTTGTAAGTATAATGTTTTCCTGTGAAAATAAAATTTTTAAACTACTAAATGAGAATACGCATTTGTGTAGCATTACCATAAACGATTTTAACTTTGTAGCAGTAATTTTTAGTATTTAACCATGTGGGAGGAGGCAGGTGTAGAAGGTAGGGAGAGAGCTTAGATTGAGCAGTATTACAAAATCTATGCTGATAAATGAAATATTTTTACTTTCTCAGTAACAGCATTATAAAGCTTAATTTAAATTACAATTTTTGTATCTAGAAGCTAAAATTCTTCATTTCTGCCTTTTCTGGCATTTTTCTATGGAAGAAAAGTACAGTGATTTAAAAAACTAGGGAAGAAAAACCATCAGCTATAATAGAAAAACCTTATGATACTTACTTGAAAGCTTTTTCTAAAATCTGACAAAACTTTCATAGGAATTAGTAGCTAGAGCCAAGTAGTGGCTCATGTTGGACTTGCTTTCCAGTTTTCTTGCTATGCCAACAACTAGGGTGCTTTTCAGTTGCCATTTATGATTGTGTTTGTTTGCTATTTATCTTACAGTCTTTCAAAAGCATGAGAAAAATAGAGACTACCATAGGGTTGTGCATTTTCAGAAAAATAGGGCAATCATGTTTCTTCATGGCAGTGTTTTCCTGCATTTAATAAAGCAAACCCTGAGCTTGTTTACTTTGCCTCCCTGACTGGCTTTTATAGGTAAATGAGTTTGAACCCCCTGTATTATAAAAATGTCTTTTTAGAATAGTTCTTAGATCGGGTATTTATTAGGCACTTACTTTGTATGCAGATTTTTACTAGGTCCTGATACTGGAACCATATAAATCTGTATTATGGCTACCCCTTCAACAAGCTTATATACTTATTGGTGAGGTAGCATAGAAATACTACATTTAACACTTTTCAGATTTTTAAATAATTTAATGGCAAATTCTATGGGCAGTTGGAAAAAGGGCGAGGTTAACATTGATTTAGTTATTGTAGAGTTTGTGAAACACAATCCTTGAGAAGGAAGTGCTACAGATACCAATTGTGAAAAAAGTCCCTTTTATGTAAAAAGAGAAAAAGCTAAGGCAGCACTAAGTAGAAGAGGGCAGTTGGAAACAAAACACTTGAAAAAGGGAAGGATCAGTTCCTTGTTATCACAGAGCTTGTGGGGAGTTTGTTTTATAGTTAGAGAGAAGAGTTCACTGAATTCTAACAGAAAATGTTCCTTTATTTCTAGGGCCTGTTCTTCTTGATGAATTTGTTGAGTGGCAAAAAGTCCGTCAAATATCATAGCAAGAACTATTGTGAAGAAAATGCAAACCTTTTGATTCCTACGTGCATACAAGCTAATGAGCTGAGGAAAAAAAATCCAAGGGTGCATTTTTATTCATATGAAAGACTTCTCATAGTATTTTTTTTCTTTTCTTTTTCTTTTTTTAAAGGAAGTTTTCTTGTTATATGTGATGGGCCTTGTGCCACACCTCTTCTAAGACTGAATATTGGAGTTTTTGTTTTGAGTTATGTTGATAACATTTATTTCAGAACAATAAAGATTCAGATTTGTGATAAAGGCCTTAAAATGAAGATGTCCCTTGAGTGTCAGAGTGGTATTTATTTTTGTAAATTTTAATTCTTGAAATTTAGAGGTTCTATTCACCATGAATTTGTGGAATTATAAAGATTTTAAATAACCTTAATATTTGGCAATGTAATCTGATGGTATGGCATAATGTATTCATCTCTGCACAATTAAGAAGAATATTTCTTGGCCTTGACTTCTGGGATAATGATTTTCTGATGCAGCTAATACGTTTTTGGATATTGGAAGTGCTCCAACTTTCAGCTCTGGTTTTCTGTGAAAGCTGCCATGGTCCTATGCACATACTTTATCTGAAAAGTTTGGAATTGGAAAGATGATGTCCAGTTACTTTGTTTTCCAACCATTAGCTAGTATTGTCAATAAGCATATCAGCATTGCCTGTCTATTCTTAATGTGAATTTTAAGTTTTCTGTATTCTGTCAGTTTAAAAGTACCATTTATATTTGAAAGAGCAAGGCTCATATATTAATGATCTCAGAATCAGACAAATGAGATAGCCTATGAGAGAATTAAGATGAATATTTAAGTCTTATCATTATTGTTGCTATTAATGGCATATGTATGATCTCTTTAACTGTCATTTTGTGTTATTGGGAGTTGTATTGAGGGCCCTTTCTGTTTCTCTTTAAGAGAACCGTAGTTCTGATGTTGTAGATTTAATGAAGATATATATAGGAAAAGAAGATAACAGAATAAGGAATTATGAGAGAGCATAATTGTACACAACTCAAGGATGCCATTTACATTAGTACAGTCACAGTATTGCTAATAATCAGTTTTCTGACTTTTGGCAATGAAGTATCTTGACAAAAGGACAGTCTTTTCTAATTCACATAAAAGGCATTGTTTTGTACTAGTAGCAGAACAGAGGTACATTCCATTTCAAACCATCCAATAGCTCAGTGATATGAAAATTGTTCACATTCACAGTTCAGTCACAATTTCAATAACATTTCTAGTTTCTTTGTATGAGTGGAGAAAGTAAACAGTATTTTTTCATAAGGCCATTTCTATTGGGATTTAAGCTGAAGGTTTATTTTTGGTGGTGAATTTATTTAATGAGTGATTTTTAGTATTGATTACTTAAGGGAAAATAATAGCATTTTAAAGGTTTTTATGGTTGGTTTGTGTTTTTGTTAATAAGCTGGGAGAAACTGCTGTTTTACTTCTTAATGAAATTACTTAGTCAAACACTGATGTAATAGTGGGGGAAAAAACACATTGATTTTTTAAAAAATTTTTTTTTTAGAGAGAGAGAGAAAGGGAAAGAGAAAGTGAAACACTGATGTGAGAGTGAAACATCAATCAGCTGCCTCCTGCACACCCCCTACCCAGGATTGAGGCTGCAACTTGGGCATGTGCCCTGGCCGGGAATCAAACTGGCAACCTTTTTGTACATGGGATGTACCATGTACCAAATCGACTGAGCCACACCGGCAGGGCTGGAAAACAACTTTTTAAGTATTAGAATCACGCACTAGAACTGAACATACCAACAGTATTATGATTTAACATCAGGGTTATTATAAGTAAATAATTTAGATTGTTGGACATTTGAGTCTTTATAATTTGACTCTTATCTCCAAGGCACAATTGCTGAACTTGAAGGATATTGCCCATTTTTGCTGAGTTCCAAAATATATAATTTAAGTGAAATCATACCAGTTGTCATTTTTTTTTAAATGTATTTTATTGATATTTTTGAGAGGAAGGGAGAGGGATAGAGAGTTAGAAACATCGATGAGAGAGAAACATCGATCAGCTGCCTCCTGCACACTCCCTACTGGGGATGTGCCCGCAACCCAGGTACATGCCCTTGACTAGAATCAAACCTGCGACCCTTTAGTCCGTAGGCCGATGCTTTATCCACTGAGCCAAACCCGTCAGGGCTCCAGTTGTCATTTTATAGCCCGAACTAATGGTAATGTCTTTGTCATCTTCACTCTTTGAGTAAAGAAACACTTAAAAGTTATAGATGACATTTAAAAAAATGCAGATATATGAAACTGTTTACTTTGCTGACTTACCCAAAGGTACCTTCAATACTTTTTGAATCTGAAAACTAAAATGAAACTTGGTTCCCTTAAGTCAAGAGCCCAATCCTACCCAGGCCATGCCTGCTTTACTCTCTGCTCCTTCTAGTTCTCTTACCTCCTTAGAGTCCTAACGTTCACTTACTTTGGAGGCAAATATACTCTGCCTCATGTATCAGTCAGGCTGTAGGCTGTCCCCTCTTGTCTTAACTTTCTTAATTTACATTTGAACAGCATTTGATCTATTGGGAAACATGAGGACAGTGTTAAGGAACCTGCATTATAAAAAAGAGGTCTAAATATTGTGGTTCTTTAATTAGTTAGCTTTAAGTGCCTTCCCAGGAACCCTCCTGTAAAATTTGCAGGATTATTTCCTGTGTATGGGATGAAATACTCAATGGTGCTTATATTGGAAACGACTTGCTTCTTATAGAATAGCATTTAAATGTAATAATACTACTTGAAGAAAGTAGAACCAGGTGTTGATTCTCAACTGTGAGAGGATAGAGAGGTTGTTGCGAGGAATACAGGTAACATAGTGTTAATGTCCTGAATCGGACATTAAAAAATGGTGTATTGTGTGCTGACCTGTCTCTGTGTTACAATGTTTGTCTTTCATTGTCTAATGATTTCTTGTTTTTTTAAATGCTGTCAGTAAAATTCTTGATAAAACGTTTTTGACAGTAGCAGTATTTTTGTGTATAATGTACAGATAGAGTTTATCGATTTGGGTTTTACTCTGAAATACTCTGGACTAGTGTTTCTTAAACTGAAATTTGAGGGCCTTCTGTGGGATGTTAGATTGACTCAGAGGATTATTTCTCTTAAGCACAAATGCCTTTTCATCTAGTAAACCAAAAATTTATCTTTAACAAATTTGTCATGATGAGGGGAGGAAGAAAGAATTTAAAGATAACTAGAGTTCTTAAAGCATACAAATTATGTAGCACTAGAGGCCTGATGCACGAAATTTGTGGAAGAGTAGGCTTTCCTTCCCCTGGCTGCCGGCACCGGCCTCCTTCTGGCATCTGGGACCTGGGCTTCCCTCGAAGCCCCGGCTTCGTCTGGAAGGACGTTCAGAAGGATGTCCGGTCTAATTAGTGTATTACACTTATATTATTATAGACTAGTGGCCCAGTGCACAAAATCCGTGCATGTTAAAAGGGAATTAACTAGAGGAAATACTTTAATATTGCTATTTGCCCTTTGCCGGGGGCAGGGACATGAGCCTCATGTCCTGGGCCCGTTGCCGGGGGCAGGGACGTGAGCCTCACATCCTGGGCCCGTTGCCGTTGCCAGGGGCAGGGACGCGAGCCTCATATCCCGGGCCCATTGCCAGGGGCAGGGACGTGAACCTCACGTCCCTGGGCCGGCACAGGTGGCCCACCCACCGATGCTGCAAGTCCCTGCCTATCCGCTCCTGCTGAGCACGCAGCCTCCTGATTGGCCATTATGTGACAGTGTCCCGGCCAGTTTTCATATTACCCTATTATTAGATAGCTTGGATTCAGAACATGAAGTGTATTAGCAATCAAACATTTAGCTTGAACTATGAATTTCTTCAACAGAACGTGTTCTTTCTGCCTAATGGTTAATGTAAAATTATGAAAAGATTTATTGAAATTATGTGCTCTGCTTGAGAAGGAAGTAGAATGTTCACTTAATTTTACTTAGTCTTATAGAAGTGTACTTAAAACTCTTGTGGTATTTCATATTCTGATAAAAGTTTTTGGGGGGCTTTTAAAGCTCCTATAGGCTAAAATTTTATAGCACACCATGTGCTTACCAAATGTCTAAAACATCATATAAATTGGGAACATTTTAATGATTTAAGTGCATTTTGTTAGACTAAGAGAAAGGCAAAATAATATCTTAATCTTATTTCCATAGCAGAATTCTTATTCTTAAAGAGGACTTCTCCCTTCTTGAGGAAGTGTTAACTTCTTGAGTGATACTGGGAATTATTACAAGGAGACATTTCCAAGAAGGATTCATTTTCTCTTCAGGGGAAAAGAGAAATAACAGCAAAATCTCATTGATTTCCTTAATAGGAAAGGCTAGTCTGAATTATTAAATATTCTAGATCATAATTTTTAAGTGAATGTAGTTTTATTACTTTCATAAATATTTGGTAACTGCCAGACAAAAAAGATTGCTTAATATATTCTTTTTGCATAACAAAACCTAGTTACCTCTCTGAATAGTACTGTGGAAACCAAAAAGGCAGTCTAATTATGGTAAATTTACATAGGTTATAGATTGTAAAACGGTGAATTTCTGCCCAAGCCTTAGGTGAATTATCACTAATTCACTCAATTGTTCCAGTGAACTTCTACTTCTACCAGAACAAATCTTTAAGTTTTTAAAGCACCATTTATCTTTTTCCAAACACTAATCTATATCTAAATCAATCTATCTATCTATCTATCTATCTATCTATCTATCTATCTATCTATACACACACACACACATTTTTATTGGTTTCAGAGAGGAAGGGAATGGGGAAAAAGGAAAAAACATCAGTGATGAGAGAGAAACATTGATTGGCTGCCTCCAGCCAGTCCCCCACTGTGGATAGAGCCCAGAAACCCAAGCATGTGTTCTGATAGGTGGTCGCTCAACCACTGAGTACACTGGCTGAGGTCCAGTTGCCAATCTGAATAAAAATCATACATTTGCTATTGCCACCTATAATCTTTAGTATCCTATATAGTGCTTCCTTTGTTCCTTTTCTAGTTGTTACTGTTTTGACCTCTTTTTTTTTCCAAATGCAAACAAAAGCCTATTTAGAAAGTCACAGGGGGTAGAAGAAGTGAGCCTGTGGAACAAGTGAACCTGCGGGGGCTGCATGGACTCAGGAAACAAGTTGCAGAGGCAAAAGAAGGGCCCTTGGAGCTTAAGGGAAAGAAAGGCAAAGAACATGCCTGGGCCGGGGGGTTGTAGGGGTGTGGGGGG